CCATTTGGGTAATGACATTGGCATATTTACTTGATATTCTTGGCATTCTTATGAACTAAGCTTAAAACTACAGCGGAAAAACGTGATGTATTCCAACATGTTGAATGTATCCAAGGATTCCAAAAGACATTATTGTTACAGCAAGAAAGGCTTAAAAGCAACTGGCCTAGCTACTACATGTTTCCAAGATTTTTGCAACATATTGTACAGAATATTTTTAATGAAACCAATTTGAAATAAAATAAGAAATATTGTTACATGTCGCCTCTTTATCTCAAACTTTTAATCATTTGTTTCCAGAAGAGAAACTCGAAACATTAAGAGGAAACTATTGGGTAAAAGATCCATTTGCTTTTTGAAACCCAGAATCTATAGTTGAGTTAAACTTATTGCCTGAAGAAGAGAGGCATTAATGCAGCTCACTTCCTCATATACATTGAAGAATGATTATGAAACATATTTACCAGTATTTTGGATTAAAATAAAGGAAGACTTTTCTCAGTAGAAAGAGTACCCTACTCTCATTACCATTCACAACAACTAGTTCATATGAACTAGGGTTTTTTGTTTTAACCCAATTAAAAATGAAGAAAAGAAATGGATTGAATGGTGCAGCAGACACTCGAGTAGCATTGTCCTATGTTCCAAACTGGAATGAATAGGCAAGCACACCCATCACATTAAGTTAATCTCACCTGGTTGTTGGTAAAACACGCTGTTCTAAGACCTCTTCATCCTCTAACAGCCAAGAATTACAACCAACAAGAGAGAGAAAGTTTTCAATAAGGAAGTTCAGGAATTACTAAAAGCTCTTAATGTTCAAGAGAACAAAATCCAAATTGGTATTGTCTTCAAGGTAATTAGAATATGATCCTAACTTTTCTGTCAAGTCTCAATCTGCACCCTAATTACTAGTCAAAATAAGTTTTTTACCTTTTTCAGGGGTTGCCCCACACTTTCCATTCTGCCTTTGCTCAGAATTGATTTCATCTGCAACTCTTTCCCCCCAACTCTATATGTCAGCATTCTATTTCTTCTAGAACTTCATATAAGGGGAATAAGAAAGACTATTTTCTGTCAAGCTTCTTTCAGTCAGTACATACACTGAGTGGCCAGACTATTATGATCTCTGAACACATAATAATCTGGCCACTCTGTGTGTGTGTGTGTGTGTGTGTGTGTGTGTGTGTGTGTGTGTGTATATAATCACAGTGCATGAATTCATGCATGGGTGGGGTCTGGCCAGCCTGGCCAAGCGGAGGGGATATGGGTGGTTGGCTGGCCTGCATGCTGGTTGAAGTCCTGGTCGAGGGGACAATTTGCATATCCTTTTATTATATAGGATATACACTGAGTGGCCAAATTGTTGTGTGTTCAGAGATCATAATAATCTGGCACTCAGTGTATATTCCTCATTGTATAAGCAGTTTGTTCTTTGTATTGCTGAGTAGTATTGCACAATATATATAAAAATTTGTTTATTATGGACATTTGCGTTGTTTCATTTAGGGGCTATTATGAATTAAGTTGCTATGAACATTTCATGTATAAATCTTTGGGTAGACAGTTTCATTTTTTCTTTGGTAAACCCCTCGTAGTGGAATATCATCTTTGGTAAGGTATCTTTTCAACTATTTTGCCCATTTAAAAATTTGGGTTGATTTTCATCTTGTTTTTGAGTTGTTGAGTTTTTTCTATTTTTTTTTATACAAGCTTTAAATCAATAATCTGCACTTACATTATTATGACTTGTAAATATCACTGATGGCTGAGTTTATAGAAAGTTTCCTTTCTCAAACTTCTTTCTTCCTTTAGAGAAAATAATCCCCCCCTCCTCTTTTTAGAACTGTCAGATCAATGGAAATACCCCCAAATTCATCTCTGAGATTTAATGCTCTTGAAGATAAGAAGAAATCCTAAAAACTTCCTGAGGTGGGGGAGAGGTCAAATAAGCAGGATTAGGAAAATGGCTGCAGGTTTTTTTAAACAGTAACACAGCAGAAAACAATGGAGCACTACCTTCCAAATTACCTGGGAAAATGATCTCCAACTTAAAATTCTCCCCAACCAAACTTTTAATCATGTATGAAGGTAAAATAATAGCAGTTTGCATTATTATGCAAAAGTCTCAGAAAAATTAACCCCTTTGGCATCTCAAAGAGGTATTGCAAAGAATATGCCATAAAACAAGAAATAGGATCTAGGAAACAGGGAATCAACTCAGGAGTGATGAGGAGAGTACCAGGATGACAACTATGCAAGTTGAGAGAGGAACCAGCTCAGATTTTGATAGTAAACTGGACAGCTCTAGCAAGATACATACATACATACATACTACCTGAAACATTGACTAATGCTTTTGAATCCACTGAAAGATTTACATGTCTTACAGAGAATCTGACTATAATCATTACAAAGAACATCAAGGCAAACAAATACTAAATAAGCCAGGGGTAAGGGAAGGGAGATAATTACTACCTTTAGGATAAGCATGAAGTTTATAAGAAATAAAATCATAGAATAGCATAAGCTCAGCCATGAATAATATGCATAAGATAATAATTGTGTGAATGCTGACTACTGATTTAAAGCTTGTAATATGGGGACATCTATAATAGTGTCAACACAAATAAATAATAAATACAGAAAGCAAGAGATTCAAATAAAAAATAGAACCTTCAGACCTATCCTGCAGCAACCTCCCATGCTAATCAAATAACTATGTAGTGATGCAACTGTGTTGAAAGGATGAAGGGTACAGAAGGATGCCTTTTGAGAATGTGAGGAATTAACGGTAAAATTTCCTTTTCCATACTAGAATAGCATCAAAGGTGGAAACATCAAGAAATAGTGTAGGGACATGCTATTTAGAAATGTGTGAGTATGCCCAGCTGGTGTTGCTCAGTGGTTGACCATTGACCCAGGAATCAGGATGTCACAGTTCAATTCCCAGTAAGGGCACATGCCCAGGTTTTGGCTGGATCCCTAGTATGGGGCGTGCAGGATATAACCAAACAATGATTCTCTCTCATCACTGATGTTTCTCTCTCTCTCTCTCTCTCTCTCTCTCTCTCTCTCTCTCTCTCTCTCTTCCTCTCCCTTCCTCTCTGAAATATATATATATATATATATATATATATATATGTATTTTTAAAAAGAAAAAGAAAAATGTGGAAGTAAATACCAGAACAAAACTGTTGAAATAATTAAAAATGCATATTCCTGGAATGTGGACTTGAGGCTGGACAGAATGTGAGGATACATCGAACAGACTGACAGCTGTCAGAGGGGAGGCAGGTACTGGATGAAAAACAATGAAGGGATTACCCAAGGGGCATATATGCATAACCCAGAGACACAGACAGCAGTGTGGATGGCATAAGGGAAGAGGGGAGGGCAGGGGCTGGGTAGAAGAGGAGAAAGGAGGGGGGTAATGGGGTTATCTATAATTGTGTCAACAATAAAAATAAAGAAAACCAAGAGCAAGAGGTTCAAATAAAATGTTGTAGAACCCTTTAGTCTTACCCCGCAGCCACCTCCCATGTTAATCAAATGCCTGCCAGGCAGTCGGAGTTCATAGCTATCACCGCTGGGAAATTGGGAGGTTGGCCCTCCAGGTGGGATTCTGTGAATCCTGGCATCCTAGCTCTCTGCACTGATTGTCTCTAGGACTGCGTGTGCATCAGCCAGGGGAGGGAGATGGTGACCTCAGCAATTCCTCAACTCCCCTGGGTTTCTTCATCTGGCTCAGAGGATGTTGTGAAAAATAATAATGAAATTATTATATAAAAATGAAAACTATGCAGAGTTCTGGGCACCTGGGATAGCTCAATAACATTAGTTTGGGTAATTATTACTTCTTGAAAACAACCCACTCCTCACTGACAGGTGGGAAAGAGGGTATCTGTCAGAGTGGGCATCATTCTGGGCCAAGAAAGTCTTCCCTCTGCTGACTGCACCCTCCTCTCCTGTTCTCCAACCTCTCTGCTTTGGGGCTCCTTCCTCCTTGGCTCAGGCCAAGATTCCACAAGAGCAATGTCCTTTCCCATGCCCTTCCCCGTGCCCTTTCCTGGGGGAAGTCCCAGCTCAGCCCTGGAATTGGCACAGGAGGTGGGAGCTCGGTGTTATGCTGAGGAGCTAGCAGGTGTGTCTTGGATTCAGAGGTTGCAGATTCTGACCTGCTGGAGGAGGAGGCACTACCTACTCAGGTGATCAACATGACCCAGGGGCAGATCTCTGCATATCTGTGCCGTATCCTACACCCACGCGAACACGAAGGATTTTGCTTACAGATGCTCATGTAGGGGTGGCATGGGTCTCCGAGTGCAATGCCTGGGGAAGGACTCCTCTCCCTGCCAACCACCAGCTGGAAGTGGAGGACAGGGTAGCAAACACCTGTTCTATGCCTGGGGCGGAGATCACTAACTTTCCCCGGGCTTCACTCTTGGTGCTTCTGTTTAAAGAGTGTCCCAGGAAAGCAAAAGCAAAGCAGGAACTTATGGCCGTAATCCTAAACTCAAATATATATGATTTTTTACAGAGAGGAAGGGAGAGGGATAGAGAGTTAGAAACATTGGTGAGAGAGAAACCCTGATCAGCTGCCTCCTGCACACCATCACTGGGGATGTGCCTGCAACCAAGGTACATGCCCTTGACCTGAATCGAACCTGGGGCCTCTCAGTCCGCAGGCTGAAGCTCTATCCACTGAGCAAAACTCAAAACTCAAATCTTTAGCTAAAGGTCCAGACTCTTGGTGTGAATAGGGTGACAAAATGTGACATGACTAGGCAGCAACTCTGAAAAACACACCAGGTTGAAAGCCTTTCAGCCTTGCCCAGGTCAGCTGGGACCAGCTGGGGTTAGCTGGGGCCAGCTGGGGTGTGATGGGGTGTGGTGTGGTGTGGTGTGATGGGGCGTGGTGGGGCGTGGTGGGGTGTGGTGGGGTGGGGCAGCTTGCCTTAAGAGGGAGGCTGTGCAGTAGGCTCTCCAGAGTCCCCATGATGGCTATCTGGGACCGCGCCCTGTCCTGGCCCTCGCTCCTGCTCCAGGTGCTGCTGCTGGCACCCTGCTGGGCGGGAGCCCAATGCACGCGGTGGAGCGGCAAGGGCACCACCCCGCACCTGCGATCCATCTTCCTGGGCCGCTGTGGCGAGTACATCGATCTGCTGCAGCCCCAGCTGCGGTGAGCACCGGAGGGCGGCGGGCGGCCCTGGGGGCAGCGCAGAAAGGAGCGGACTGGGTGGGCAGAAGGGGCAGAAGTGTGTAGGGGGAGTAAGAGGAGGAGGAGGAGGGGGTGAAAGGAGGAGGGGGAGGAGGGAGAGTGAGAGGAGGGCTAGGAGAGAAGGGAGGAGGGGAAGAAGAAGTAGGGGGAGAGGGATGGGGAGGGGAGGGGGAAGAGGGCCTCCGGAGATCAGGAGTTTGTGGGGAGGAAGGAATGGGTCCTAAAGACCAGGAGTGCGTGGGAAGTCAAGGGTCTTGACTTGAGGGTGCTTGTGTGGGAGGGTGGGGGTTCTGAAGGTCAGGGGAGCCTGAGGGTGACAGACAGAGAGATCTGTCCCACTGTGGCTTTTTTTTTTTTATACACGTGTGTTCCTGCACAGGGACAAGAACTGCACGGCCATGTGGGAGGCCTTCCAACTGGCGCTGAACAAGGACCCCTGCTCCGTGCTGCCCTCCGACTATGACCGCTTCATCGATCTCGCCAGGCACCCCATTCCCAGAGACAAGGTAACTCAGGCACTCCCACTGGCTCTGTCCTCACAGCGGCCAGAGGTGTGAGAGTGGCTGTGTCCAGGGTGCCTGAGACTTCAGCCACAGCCTCCCAGAGCGCATGCCCCGTCGGGCTCTGGGTGGGAAGGTGGCTTCATCTTCACCGGCCTCCCGCCTGCCTGGGCAGAAGGAGAATTCCTAAGTTAACAAAGCAGTGCAGGAGTCACAGGACATGGGCATCGCCACACTCCCGCCCTGGGGCTCCTGCCAGGCGGATTCGTTTGGTTCCTGTTCTTTGTTAATCCTCACCGGAGGATATTTTCCCATTGATTTTTTTAGGGAGAGTGAAAGAGGGGGAAAGACAGAGAGAAACAGATGTGAGAGAGACACATTGATTGGTTGCCTCCTGCACAAGCCCCAACCAGGGCCTAGGCTGGGGAGGAGCCTGCAACCAAAGTATGTGCCCTTGACCAGAATCAAACTCGGGACCTTTTGGTCCTCAGGCCAACACTCCATCCACTGAGCCAAACCGGCTAGGGCCAGGGCGGATTCTGAGTGACCTCTGTCCTCACTGACCCTAAGGGCCTGACCCTGAGCAAGTCAGAAAGTGCCCAACATCAGGAGACTCCCAGAAAACCTATTTCTCCTTTTAACGGCACTTAAGGTTATATCTGTTCAGTGCCAGTTTAAGAAAACCACATATCTGTACATTGTAATATAATGAATGAATGAAGTTATGTATGTAAGTATGTTGGTTATTTTATTTATTTATTTTGGTTAATCCTCACCCAAGGATATTTTCCCATTGATTCTTAGAGAGTGTGGGAGAGGGAGAGACAGAGAGAAGCATTGATGTGAGAGAGACACATTGATTGGTTGCTCCTGCACACACCCTGACCAGGGCCAGGAGCCAGAAACCAAGGTACGTGCCCTTGACCGGAATTGAACCCAGGACCCTTCAGTCTGCAGGCTGATGCTCTATCCACTGAACCATACTGGCTAGGGCAGGAGTTTACTTTTGAAATCAGTGGTGGGGAGCTGCTGAGGAACCCCTGCAGCCATTGAGTGTGGTGGCCGTGGTGTGTGGTGGATGCTCCGAGCTGTGGGTGTACCAGGCTGTGGGCCTGGCCATGGTGCGGCAGCTCCCTCTGGAGCGGGGCATCAGCCTTCACAGGGCCTGGAATAGATTTTCTCATGTGGCATCCACATCACTTTATGTCAGAGTGACATTCATCCAGCTGAAACCTTTCCTCGAGCTCAGAAATATGGACTCATCGTTGCTTGTCAACACTGATACTGAGGCCATGAAATTCCTAAATCATGTGCGGAAACAATTAACAGAACTGTTATGCAAGTGCTCTGTGCAGAAACATGTGATAGTCATCTAAAAATGTAAGTAGTGAGGTCCTTGAGAGATGGCAGTTTGATACTGAGGGTACAAGACTGCCAAAGATGACAGTACAGCCAGAGAAAAGCTCTCAGGGTGAAGTCCGGCCGGCACTCACACAGAACACAGCTACAGTGGCAAGTTGCCATAGCTAGAACTTCCTGATCTGCCCAGGCAGGGATCTGGCTGTACCTGCAAAGTGGGAAGAGTCAGGACCACAGTTTATACCCAATTCTGAGCAAGTCCCTCTGCCTGCCTTCTGTTCTATAAGCCCTAAAGGAAGCAGCACGAGCTGAAACCGGTTTGGCTCAGTGGATAGAGCATCAGCCTGCGGACTGAAAGATCCCAGGTTCGATTCCCGTCAAGGGCATGTGCCTTGGTTGGGGGCACATCCCCGGTGTGGGGTGTGCAAGAGGCAGCTGGTCAATGTTTGTCTCTCATCGACGTTTCTAGCTCTCTATCTCTCTCCCTTCCTCTCTGTAAAATATCAATACAATATATTAAAAAAAAAGAAAAAAAGAATTTCATCATTGTTCTTGAATTCCATTATTGTTCTTGTCCCACCTCCAGGCATGTATGGGATTTTGTTGGGCACCGTGCTGCTGCTGCTGCTTCTTCTTCTTCTTCTTCTTCTTCTTCTTCTTCTTCTTCTTCTTCTTTTTAAATATATTTCATTGACTTTTTACAGAGAGGAAGAGTGAGGGATGGAGAGTTAGAAACATCGATGAGAGAGAATCATCGATCAGCTGCCTCTTGCATATCCTCTACTGGGAATGTGCCTGCAACCAATGTACATGCCCTTGACCGGAACCAAACCCGGGACTCTACAGTCCGCAGATCAACGCTCTACCACTGAGCCAAACTGGTTTTGGCAATGATGGAATTCTTAAACGTGTTTCCTGAAACCAAGCTGACTGTCATTCATGTTTTATTTCATTGATGACTTTTGAGATAGAGAAAACAACACTATACTTATTGAACTGTGCATGATTGTGCCTTTTTTTTTTTTTTTTTTTTTTTTTTTTTTTTGTACCTGTTTGACTTTCCATCAGGTTGACGTAATGGTTTTGCCCACTGTTCTAAAGGAAACTGGCAGCATCAGTGCTGTAATGTCAATTCATTTGAACATGGTGACTGTAGATGGAAAAACTAGCTATAAAGCTAAATGCTTTCCTAAATTAGATCTTTTGGTCATGTGGCTTAACTCGGAGTATCTATAACAATAAAAGTGTAATATGCTAATTAGACCAGACAGCTGAACAACCTTCCAGACATCATCCTGGATGAAGATATGGTGATGGGGGCTGAGGAGGAAGCAGGCGAGCTTTTAGGGGCGATGAGGCAGGCAGGCAGAGTGGTTAGGAGCCAGCAGTCCCAGATTGTGAGAGCGTGCAGGCTGGGCTGAGGGGACAGCCCTCCCCACTCCTGTGCACCAATTTCATGCATCAGGCCTCTAGGTAAATACGAAACATAGCAAAAGAAGACTGAATATTCAGAATCTTTATTTAGGTCCTAAAGTAACCGATAATCCACAATCACAAAACATTCCTACTAGGTCCTTTTTCCATTTGTTTCATTTGTATCATTTTCATATTGAAAAAATCTCCAATTATTTGATTTTAATATATATAACTTACACTTACAAAGCTATCGCCATTTCTACTCTTTAAATTCCCATAGTACAAAACTCTTAAAAATGTCTTTGTGTTTTATAAAACTAGGCTTTAAATGACAATGATAAAGTTAAATGTGTATATTTAAAAGAATAATAATTAAGAAAAGTGGCCTAAAATGTTTTCTTTGAACAGTGCTTTGAATCAAGGACTGTTAAAGAGCATTTTTATTTATCTGACATAATAATTCTTAACTTGATTTTTAATTGTAAAGTCAGGTAACTTGATGGTTACAAATGAAAAAAACCCTAACCCTAACACTAACACTAATTTTTTCCTTTGAAAAAGAGGTAAATGAAGCCAGGAGGTTCAGAGATATAATAGACCAAAACCATAATTTTTATTTTATTTTTTTATTTTTATTTTAAAAATATATTTTATTGATTTTTTACAGAGAGGAAGAGAGAGGGATAGGAAGTTAGAAACATCGATGAGAGAGAATCATCGATCAGCTGCCTCTTGCACACCCCCCACTGGGGATGTGCCCGCAACCAAGGTACGTGCCCTTGACTGGAATTGAACCTGGGACCTTTCAGTCTGCAGGCCGACACTCTATCCATTGAGCTAAACCAGTTTCGGCCAAAACTATAATATTTAAATATATGTTGAACCTTGCTGCTTCCTTGACAGTAAAGAGAGGAGCCACAAAGTTTGTTCTCCTCTCTTGTTGATCTTGGTTCTAGTTGATGAACTCAGTAAATATTTGCTGAGCTACTCTCATGTGCTGGGCATTGTGCTAAGAGTTGAGGATGCATCCTGGAACAAAACAGCCCTGCCCTCAGGGTACTTCCTGTTTAGGCCAAGAACAGTTGGCCTACTGAGGATCTGATGAGATAATGATCGAGCGGGGTATTGCTTTTTGTCTTGTTTTTATGTGAAAACAATATAATTTTATCTTATTTATTTTAAGTATATTTTATTTATCCACTGAGCCAAACCGGTTTTGGCTAATTTTATCTTATTTTTAAAATTTTATTTTTTAATTATAGTTGACATAATATTTTATATTAGTTTCAGGTATACAGCATAGTGGTTAGACAATCAAAGTGATCCCCAATATTTCAAGTACCCACCTGACACCATATATAGTTATTATAATATTATTGACTATATTTCTTATGCTATATTTTATATCCCTGTGACTATTTGTAACTACCAATTTATACTTCTTCTTTTTTTTAAATATATTTTATTGATTTTTCTACAGAGAGGAAGGGGGAGAGATAGAGAGCTAGAAACTTCGATGAGAGAGAAACACCGACTAGCTGCTTCTCGCACACCCCTACCAGGGATGTGCCCGCAACCAATGTACGTGCCCTTGACCGGAGTCGAACCTGGGACCTTTCAGTCCACAGACCTATGCTCTACCACTGAGCCAAACCGGATTCGGCCCAATTTGTACTTCTTAATTCTTTTATCTTTTTTGCCCAGTTCCCCAGCACCCCTCTCATCTGTCTGTTCTGTGTATCTATGAGCCTGCTTCTGTTTGCTCATTTGTGTTATTCTTTAGATTTTACATAGAAGTAAAATCATATGGTATTATCTTTTCTCTGTCTGACTTAACTTCACTTTGCATAACACCCTCTAGGTCCCCCCATGTTGTCGAAAATGTTTTAATAAATTGTTATATGTACCACCTCTTCTTTATCCACTCATTTACTGTGGGCACTTGGATTGCTTCCAAGTCTTCACTGTTGTGAATAACATTGCAGTGAACCTAAGAGTGCATATGTCTTTTTGAATTAATGTTTTGAGTTTCTTCAGATATTTATCCAGACGTGAAATTGCTGGGTAAAAATACTATAACTTTATAGTGAGACTATTGCAGAATCATCTTCCAAAATTCAGGTTTTATACCTGCTGGCTGCATTAGTAACACGAACATTGAGACACTGGTGGCTGGAGACAGAGAAAGGTTTATTTGATTTACCCACCGTGTCCAAGAGAGCAAAATCTCGCAAACCCATCTCTTTCCAAAAGCACAGTATGAAGTCTGTATGCAGCTTGGGAGTAGGGGTTGGGTAGTTCCGGGGAACTGAGAGAGAAGTCTGTGGTTCTTTAGTCACAGATAACATTTTGTGCAGCCAGACTCCTAGGCAGCAGCAACTAGTCACAGCTGCTTTGGAGATATTCTTTCCTTCTGCAAGGCGAACTCATACATTTCCCTCAGGACCCCAAAGTCATCACCTCCTGCTTGGCAATGAGACCCACCTCAGCAACTTCTCAACTTTCTGAGAAGAGAAGAGCAGTTAATGTAAACAAAGGCCTAAGCAGGAATTAAATTAATTAATTCTAGCTGCCCCCAAAATGAGGGGCACTAAACTCACCTGGGGGTTCAGCTATAGGAACTGTAAAGTATAATATAAAAGGATATATTGCATATCATCCTAAGCATAGCTGTGGAAGAAGAGGCGAGCTCATGATTTCCATTTTCCAGATGTGGAAACTGAGGCACAGGGAGAGAATATGCTTTGGTCAAAATCACATATCTAATTTATCACAAACCCAGGCCCCTCGATCTTCTTTTAAATCCAGGGTCTTCACACATACACACACACACACACACACACACACACACACACACACACTGCATTGTACTCCTGGGGAAATATTTCACTAACATTTGCATGGCACCCTTGGACTAACAGGAAGAAATTAGGACCAAGAAAGGAAAGAGCACTGGATGTGAGGCAGGAGAGTTGAATAAGAAATGGGTTGCCTGACTTAACTTGATGACATTGTGCCTGAAGTTTGTTTTAATTTCATTTTCTAGTTGAATGTTGTGTTTGTTTTTCCATAGGCACTGATCTGGGAAAATAACCAGCTCCTTGTAGTGGACTACTCAGAGAAAAGCCGGCGTTACATGCCTTTGGGCGATGCTCTGTTCGGCAAGGTTGTGGATTTTATGAGCTGGTGTCGGCAGGAAAACGGCTCTGGTAAGACTCCTGCACAACACACAAGGCAAATAAGAGTTCTTGCCTGGCCAGCGTGGCTCAGTGGTTGGAGGTCAACCTCTGATTCCTGGTTGGGGCTCATAACTGATTTGTGGGCTTAATCCCCAGTGTGGGGTGTGCAGGAGGCAGCTGATCAATGATTCTCTCTCATCATTGATGTTTCTGCCTCTTTTTCCTTTCCCTTCCTCTCTGAAATAATAATAAAAAGGAAAAGTTGTTTTTTTCTTTTCTAAAAAAAAAAGAAAGAAAGAAAGAAAGAAAGAAAAATTAGAGTTCTTGCTTACTAGGCACTTGCTATTTGTGCTAAATGCTTTCATATGCATTCACCTCATTTCATTGCCCCCCCCCCCCCTCTGCAGTAGGTGGCAATAACAATCACCATAGCAGATATCACTTACCTTTTGATGGGCGATGATCTGTTCGGCAAGGTTGTGGATTTTATGAGCTGGTGTCGGCAGGACACCTAAGCACTTTGATTTTGTTGATTTCATTGAGGAAAGGAGAGGGAGAGCAGGATAGAAACATCAACCATGAGAGAGAATCATTGATCAGTTGCCTCCTGCACGCCTTACATTAGGGATCGAGCCCACAACCCAGACATATTCCCTGATCAGGAATCAAACTGTGACCTCCTAGTTTATAGGTCGAAACTCAACTACTGAGCAATGCCATTTGGGCTAATACCCAGTCTTACATTATAGAAGGGAAATAAGACAATAGGCAGACAAGTAAAATATATAGTCTCGTATAAGATTATAAGGACTACAGAGAAAAACAAAACAAGGGAGAGATGGAAGTGCTGGGCAGGGGGAGGAGGAGAGAGGAAAGTGTTTCAGTGTCACATAGGCCCAGGGAGAGCCTCACCCCTCATGAGAAGCTGATATCTGAACAAAGCCTAGAATAAAGGAGATGAGGAAGAGCATTCATGACAGAGGGAACAGCAGGTGCCAATGCCCTGTGTTGGAGGTGTGTCTGGCATATTTAAGTACAGCAAGGAGGGCAGTGAGTAAAGAGTGAAGTGGGGGCAGTCTTGTGGGACTGAGCCCTTCACCTGTGGTGCCTACGCTAACTTTGCATACTTAGTGTTCGAAATGAATTGAATTGTGGGACCCCCAGCCTGGAGAGTTTGGAGAAGTGATTGTTGTAGGAAGTGTTGAGAGTAAAGCAGCTCAGAGAGTGTCCCAGAAAATCACAGATTCTTCCCCATCTCTCTCATTCGATCGATGCCATCTTCTAAGGGGTCTTTGTTTAAAAAGGAAGTGAAGCCCAGAGTTTAGGATCAGAAAAATAACGCTATGTTCATGTTCTGGTATCTCGTGGAGCTATGAACAATGTGTGTCTGTTGATCTGGTGAGGTGTTCGTGATATATTTTTAAGTGAAAAAAATCTAATTCAAATAAAAAAATATACACACAAACACATATGAAAATGTACACATGAAAGAAGTCAAGAAGATAGCAAACCCAAACTGCTCTTGCTAGGAATTTGAAGTCATACATTTTTTTAGTTTTTTAGCATTTATTTTCATTGATTTCAGAGAGATAGGGAGAGGGAGAGAGAGAAACATCAATAATGAGAAAGAATCATTGATCAGCTGCCTCTTGCATGTTCTCTACTAGGGATTGATCCTGCAACTGGGCATATGCCCCAACCGGGAATTGAACTGTAACCTCCTAGTTCATAGGTATCAATGCTCAACCCATTGAGCCATGCTGGTTGGGCTAAAGTCATACATTTTTTTTCTTATCCGTATTTACTTCAGTTTTTTTTTTTTTAGTAGAGATAATAAAGTATTTTTTAAAATATATTTTTATTGATTTTTAGAGAAAAAGTAAGGGAGAGGGGTAGAGAGTTAGAAACATCAATGAAAGAGAAACATCATTGATCGGTTGCCTCTTGCTTACACCCCTACTGGAGATTGAGCCTGCAACCTGGGCATGTGCCCTGACCAGGAATTGACCCGCCAGCCTCTTGGTTCCTGGGTCAATGCTCAACCACTAAGTCAAATTGGCCAGGCTAGAATAAACTATGTTTAAGAACAGAATTCTTCAACTACATAAATGATCATTAATAATAGTCACCAGTTATTCATAGTCTAAGACCAAGAAAGTATAAAACAGGCAAATACAGAGATTACAAATACCACCTAAAGCCATGGCTGTCAGAAATGGTGGGAGGAGCAGTGGGCAGCCAGAGAGCTCAATTCTGATCCTCTTTGCCATGTACCATCCCTGGGACCTCTCTGAGGCTCAGAGATCTCTGAGAAATCCGGGCTCTGGCCTGCCCCCAGGATAACCAGAACTATGTACAAGTCTAGAGTGTGTACTTCACAGAAGTAATTACCACTTTCTTATACTGATCTTCTCTTGAGTTATGCCAGCGGTCGGCAAACTCATTAGTCAACAGAGCCAAATATCAACAGTGCAACGATTGAAATTTCTTTGGAGAGGCAAATTTTTTAAAATTAAACTTCTTCTAATGCCACTTCTTCAAAATAAACTCGCGCAGGCCATGGTATTTTGTGGAAGAGCCACACTCAAGGAGTCAAAGAGCCACCACAGTTTGCCGACCACTATATTATGCAATGGACCTTGCACCTAAACAACATTACAGCTAGTTGCATTTGCACCTCCCTGAACACATTGCCTGCCTTCAGGGACACATTGTGTCCTGCTTGGTTCTCCCTGGAACAACTTGCCAATTAGCTCATTCCTTTTTTAATTTTAATTTTATTTTAAATAGAGTATATAGTGAACATATACCATATATATGTACTGAATTATATCCTTAAAGTTAATGCAATTTAATACATTTGAACATGTTATAAAATATCTATTTTCTGCCTAAGACTATCACTTTCTGTTTGTTTTGTATTTACTTCCAAACCAGGGCTAATTGGAGAAGGTACTTCTTCCAGGGAAGCCAAGTTGTATGTGTTTTTTGTTTGTTTGTTTTTTTAAAAATGTATATTTTATTGATTTTTTACAGAGAGGAAGGGAGAAAGATAATTAGAAACACAGATCATCTGCCTCCTGCACCCCCTTCACCCCCCCCTCTCACATACACACACACTGGGGATGTGCCCACAACCAAGGTACGTGCCCTTGACTGGAATCGAACCCGGGACCTTCAGTCCACAGGCCAATGCCCTATCTACTGAGCCAAACCGGTTTTAGCAGTATGTGGTATTTTTAAAATCCCTTTACTAGCATTCCAGTAGAGAATAACCCAACTGGCATGCTGGTGGCTGGCCAGGCTCATTCATTAGCTAACTGTTCAGTTCTTCACCTTCCTTGCATCTGTGCTGAGCAAGATGACATGTCTCCGTTATCACGGATTGGACGGTCACTTACCAGGCTCCTGGGGATTGGGTGGGCAGAACTGTGACTGCTCAGCTTGAGCACATGGTGCAGCACACAGGCTGAATATATTTTTCAGAGCCAGAAAATACCTTTAATTGATTCTTCCCAATATCATCTTGGAAATGAAATGTGTTTGTTTTCCTCCCAGGACTCGATTACCAATCCTGCCCTGTATTAGAGGATTGTGAAACCAATGCTATGGATTCTTTCTGGAGAAGGGCATCCACGCAGGTAACCCTGGGGAGCACGGCTAAGGGAGGGCACAGCAGGGACCCCTGAGCATGGGCCAGAGCGGGGCAGAGACGTTCTGGGATTGGGCCGTTGGGTTACCACGTACCTTCTTGGAGCCTCACTTTCCACCTTTTCAGGACTCTGATTTAGTCTCTCTGCTCCATAAAGCTGTGTGGACTTGAGCTTAACGTGGCACAGAGCAGATGTTCAATTAGTGTTAGTCAGAGATGAGGATATTAAATAGTCCTTATTGCTGTTAGGTGTTGTAGGTTGTTAGGATTTTGAATCAATGTGATTTAAAATATAGATAGATAGGTAGATAGATAGATAGATAGATAGATAGATAGATAGATAGACATAGATAGATAGATAGATAGATAGATAAGATAGGTAGATAGATAGATGTAGATAGATGATAGATAGATAGATAGATAGATAGATATAGATATAGATAGATTTCAAAGAGGCAGAGAGAGGGAGAGAGAGAGAGAGATAGAAACATCAATAATGAGAAATAATTATTGATCAGTTGCCTCCTGCATGTGTCCTATTAGTGATTGAGCCCTCAACCTGGGCATGTACCCTGCCTGGAAATCAAACCAAAACCATGACCTCTTGGTTCATAGGTTGATGCTCAACCACTGAGCCACTTCTGTTGGGTTCAAAAATTGTGATTTTGATTGCTATATAAAATAGGGTGGCCCTGTTTTCTGTGAGGCCCTGGGACGCCTGATATCTAGATGTGGGAGTCAGAAATGTCTCTAAGACTGATGCCCGTGGGAGAGGAGGTGAGAGAGGACTGAGGACAAACTGGAGATACAGAAATGGTCTCCCTGAGGAAAGTCTGTTCCTCAGAGAATGTTGTCACCAGGGGTGATGGTAGTTACCAGTAGCTATTAAATGCCAGTGAGCTCAGTTCACATTTTCTCTCACCAGGTTAGAACAAATATTAGAAATTAATGAGGGTTAAGTCTTTAGCTCTGCACCCGGCAAAGAGCTGTCTACTATTAAATGTTCCCTGTATTGACGAAGTGGCCCACGGATTTCAGGGTCCCCTGACCCATGGCTGCCAACCAACCCCCTTTCAGGGCTATCTGTGTCTCTGGGTCCCATTCCTGCTCTGCATTCCCAGGTATCCACTGGGTCATTGTTCATCAGGGTTAGAGGGACTTTGGTCAAATCCTCCACCACAGATGCCAGTGGGAGCTAAGCAGAGGGCCTGCTCTGGACAAATACATTATATATCCACCCAGTGCTCTCCAGGCAACTTGGAGAGGAGCCATGTGTTTGTACCCACCCCCCACAGACCCCTCTCTGAGTACAAGTTCCAGGCAGTTGGCTGTGGATGCCTTGTCACCAGGATGTGGATCATAAGAGCAACTCAGGGCACATATAAGGGTCAACCAGAAAATGCATGCATAAGTGAGACAACATATCTCTCTCTCTCTCTCTCTCTCTCTCTCTCTCTCTCTCTCTCTCTCTCTTTCTAAAAGCCAATCAATATATATATATATTTAATTTGGCCATTCATAGCTGAAAAAAGACTCATTTCTTCTTGCAGTATGCAAAAGAGACTTCTGGGGTGATCCACGTCATGCTGAATGGTTCAGAACCAAAAGGAGCTTATCCCGCGAAAGGGTAGGAATGTCAGCACCAACCAACGCAGCAGAGATGCCAAAATGTTCATCTACCGGTAGTTGTTTGGGAAGGAGGCTTATGAGAATGGTCCTAATCCCCAACCTAATGCTTGCTTTTGTAAGTCCAGGTAGAGCAAAACTAATTGAAAGACTTAGAGATCAGATATATGTTTATCCAGTCACAGTGTTAACAGATGATGACCGCATGAATGAAATAAATAACCTCAAAGTTAATGCTGAGAAATAGGCCCCCAAAGGCTTGGGGGGAAAAAAGTAGTGTGTAACTCAGCTAACATTGAAATGGCGAAAGTATCACATTGCTTTAGGACTTTGAGAAATGTCTTTCCTGTTTTTCAGGTTTCTTGCAAATTATGAAATACCCAACCTCCAGAAGGATAAAGTCACCCGAGTTGAGATCTGGGTTATGCATGACATCGGGGGACCTTACCTGTAAGCTATGGTGCTCTTGGGGAGGGTAATCCTGCAAACCTGCTTTTTCCAGAGGGAATATGCTCATCTGTTTTGCATTTTCATTTTGGGGAAAATAATAGTCTTTAAAAAGTTCTTTCTTTTTTTTTTTTTTACTGATTGATTTTAGAGAGAGAGGGGAAGGGGTGGGGGTTAGGGGAAGCACGGGGAGAGATCTGTTGCATTTAGGCGTTCATCTGTTCATTCTTCTATGTGCTGTGATCAGAAATCAAACCTACAGCCTTGGTGTATCAGGATGAGGCTCTAACCAACTAAGCTATTGTGCTCCCAGTACTGTGCTCCCTGCCTGTGATATGAATATGAATACCATGCCTGTTGACCACACCTGTTTGCCTTTATACCTGCCCTCTGCTTAATCACGAAGGGGGTGGGAATTGGGCAAGAACCCCTGTAGATGAAAAGGTGGGGAAATGGACCCTCAGACTCTGCTGGGGTGATCAGCTTGGGGTTCAGTGTGGTGGTGCCTCTCAGAGCCTTAAAACACATTCAGAAGTTTGGTTCCAGAAAACCTACTTTCAGGACTTCATGCTAAGGAAACAAATAATGAAGGGTGTGTATAAAAATGAAGCTTTATCAAGGTTTGTTATAATGTGCATGAGATTGAAATATACAAATGAACCTTGACCTTTAAGAGGTGGCTGGTTTTAGTGATTATGTTTCAATTATGGAAGGGAGGGTGCACAGGAATTAAAAACAAGGGCAGGCATGTATGTATGTACACAGACATGGACAAATGTGGAAAATAAAGTGCACGGACAGCAGTACTCCACTGTTATATTTTAAATCTCATGGGGATAAGTATGTTTAAAAAGTCTAGAAGGACATACATCAAAATATCAGCGGCAGTTACCTCTAGTGATGTAAGATTTATTTTTTCCCCTTTTGTTTATTTGTACTTTCTAATGTTTTGTTGTTTTTTTTTGAATTGCGTCTTTTTTGTGGCCATATAAAACTTAATATGCTGTCGGTAGGACAAGTTGGCAGTCGGCACTGGTCAGGGGCACTTCCCAAGGGTGTGTTGATGGGTGGAGCCAAGAAACCCTGTGACGTACCTGGCACCTGCACATGAGCCTGTAAGGCCCTCCGGGGGCACTTAACATGCAACCTTTGGACTGGGTGTTGGGTGCTCAGAGCAGCCCCTTTAGGGTCCTGGGTAGTTATTGAAGACAGCACTTCTGGGTCCAAATATTTCTCCAGAAGCACATGGTCCACATACATTTTAATTAACCTGGAAAAGACTTCTTCTATCCTCTTATTCTGTGTTTGTGTTTTAGGGAATCCTGTGGAGAAGGCACTGTGAAAATCATGGAAGACAAACTGAAGGAGATGGGTTTGCAGTACAGATGTACTAATGATTACCTGTACGTGTCCTATTATCATCAGTGCAGATAATCCGTGGTTTTGGAGTGTTGGTGGTTGTCTCAAAGGATTTTAGGGGGATCGGCTCTAAAGACCAAAGGACTGTGCCTTCTGGGTTGCCACTGGATGGGGGGAAGGTGGGTGCCTTGTGGCCAGGGTTCTGTCTGGCTCCACCCACTTGGGTCCAGAGACTTTTTAATTATGGATGGACAGAGGGAGCAGCCCTTTCTCATCTGCGCATGTCCAGGTTGCCCTTCACCTGCGAAGGGCACAGTGAGTGACCTGCGGACAGGAAGCATGGTGCCTGCCCCTTTGGGTGCCACAGGCCTGTGGGTCTTTCCCCGTGAGAGGTGCTAAGGTGCAGTTTGTCTGAGATACTTTCAGGAAGGTACATCTTGACTGTAGGCCAATAGGAACATAGTACCAGCTGCTGTTCTGTGAGCGCATTGTGGGCCAGGAATTGGATGTACTGAAAATCAGATATCGTTTGCGCGCATTCCTGATTCTCAGAAATGTAGATGAGTTTGGCTCAAATCCTGGGGGAGGGGGAAGCCCTGGCTTCACCTGGGAATTCTCACCTATGTGTGCATCCTGCTTGGCTCCTGGAGATTGGAGTCCAGCTTAGGGGCTCTCCCCTATGTCTAAGGGGGTGGCAGAGTGCCACGTACCTCTGCATCTCCTCCTGCCCACCACTGTCCAGTTGGCTTTGCCTCCTCTGCCTTCTCAAGAACCCCAGGGACTGGATAATATTCCCATTCAAGCAAAGCCCCTGGAAGTGTGGATCTCGCCCAACTCCTGCCTCCCCAGGGAAATGAGCGCCTCAAAGCTGTTCTCTTTAAATATATACTTTTTAATTAATTTTTTTTACAGAAAAGAAGGGAGAGAGAGCTAGAAACATCAATGAAAGAGAAACATCGATCAGCTTACTCCCTCCCTCCTCCCCCTTACTGGGGATGGGCCCGCAACCACGGTACATGCCCTTGATGGGAATCAAGTCCAGCCTTCTGTACTCATTGAGGGTTTTCCCCCAGCAAAATAGTATGTCCATGCAGAAGTGAATCCATGCTTGGGTCCCAGCTGTGAGCACATGGGAAAGTCCTGGGGACAGTGTTCTTCACTGTAAACTGGCAATGCTAATAGTGCCAGTTCTATGTCGCTGTTGTGAGGATTAAATGATATAACTGATGTAATTAGTGTATGTAATTCTTGGTACAGAATGCTGGCTAATATTTTTTAAAAGAACCTGTTCTTCACAGGTCAGAGACTTTATGTCCCTGGGATTTTGCAGGCACACCACAAACATTTGTTGCATGAAAGCCATTTAAACAATCCCTTGCCATGGAGAGGTCAATGGGGGGGGGGGAGGAGAGGGAAGGGTAAAGGAGACTCATGTAATACTTCAAACAATAAAAGGAATTAAACAAACAAACAAACAAACAAACAAAAAGCAGTCCCTTAAATCTTTTTATTCTATAGGCCAGTGAAGCTCTTTATGTGTGTGGACCACACCACGCATCCTGACTGTGACTTTACTTCGTAAGTAAATGTCCTGACCCGACCTCCTGGCTTCCCCGGGGATAACCAGTCCTCACTCTATAGGACATGGATGAATTGCAACATGAGTTGCTAAATGCCAACTGCAGAGTCAGGTTTGCCCTCCAGCCTGGTGCAGGTATAATCTGGCTGAGCCTAGCTCCCACCATGCACTGCAGTGCTGAGCCTGCCCTGGTGCAGCAGAAATTCTAGGAGGACCTTTTAAAATTATTTCTTATTCCTAATATGTTATAAAATTATATAATTTTTTTTGGAAAGGTAACACATATGCATGGAGTGAAATTCATAGTATAAAAAAGTTGAGAATGAGAACCTGCAACCAAGACACATGCCCCTGACCGGAATCGAACCCAGGACCCTTGAGTCCGCAGGCCGATGCTCGATCCATTGAGCCAAACCGGTTTTGACATGCCCCACCCTTTTGAACAGGTCTATGGTGTTCTGTTGTACGTATGTATCACGACTTACTTAACCCATACCCATAGGTGGGCATTTAGATTGTTTCCAATATTTAGTTGTCACCAACTATGAAGAAGAGGGTATCTGTTCCCTCTGCTCCATTTCCTCAAAGTAACTTCCTTTAGCATTTTTGGTTCATCTCTTGCCGTATGTCCTCAATGCTCAGCCCTACACACGCGTTACAGATGCAGATGTAAGTTTGCTTCTTTGGTTTTGGTTTGGTCTAATTTCCTTTTTTTTTTTTTTTTGTCTTTGTTTCTGTACAAAAAGCAATCATGCCAGACATATTGTTCTGTGGGCTTTTTTTCACTCTGCATGGCAGGGGGTCCTTCCACGTCTGGTCACGCTCTCTGACTCAGTTTTTCAATGTCTTTTATTTTTTTTAAATATATTTTATTGATTTTTTACAAAGAGAAAGGGAGAGAGATAGAGAGATAGAAACATCGATGAGAGAGAAACATCAACCAGCTGCCTCCTGCACACCCCCTGCACACCTCCTGCACACCCACAACCGATGTACATGCCCTTGTCTGGAATCGAACCTGGGACATTTCAGTCCGCAGACCGACGCTCTAGCCACTGAGCCAAACCGGTTTCGGCAAGTTTTTCAATGTCTATTGAGTGTCTATAGGAGGGCCACCCCGCCATTAATCACTGTCCAGTCATAGGCGGACTCATTTGTAGGTTGTAGTTGTTTTGTTGCTGTGAACAATGCTGAGGTATAGCCCTTGAGTGTACACTTTGAGCTCTCGTGCAAGCATTTGTGTAGGACAGATCACTCGCAATGGACATATGTGTAGTTTGACTGTTGATGTTTCTGAGAGGGTGCACATGCGTACACCCCCCCCCCACAGTATAAGGTGGGTGCTCCTTCCACCCCCTGCCCTCCCACCCTCCCCCTTTGCCACCATTGGGTTGTAATGTGAATCCTGACAGTTGTTTCTTTTTTCTTTTTTGTAATTTAGTGACTGTTGAAGCTTTGATTGCTGAGACATCCACTTCCATAAAGGCTATTTCCAGTGAACACACCACCAGCTACAGGACTGAAGAGCCAGTGCCCAGCCCCCTTTGAGTTTCCTGAGTTTTAGAGATCTTGGTTGATTCAATAACTGCTCCTTCTGGCCACTGTTTTTCCTACTTGCCTTCGCTTTAAATCCCTGCTCTTAAGTTTTAATCTCACCAGTGAAGATTGAGTCCCCCAAACCCTAGGCCTGCACCCATGACCCCAATAAAAGCAGATCTGTGTGTACTTACTCTACCCTCAACTGCACTGTGTGGCCCCAGGTGCCCTGGGTAATTTCTGGGTCCTATAAATAATAAACTTTCCCCCTGCAAAGTTCTGTGATGGTTATTGCTAAAGGGCATTTTGCAACCATGAGAAGAACCACAGCCACAGTGCTGGATAGTGGGAAGCTGAGTCTGGCACAAAACATGGAGATTATCTATGTCTGAATCTGTACCTGTACCTATCTCTGTACCTAATGTTGTTTTCATTTGTGTTGGCAGGAAGATTTCCCTTCCATTTCTTCCTATCTGCTAAAATCACACTTACCTGTGAGGCCCAACTCTAAATGCCCCTCTCTGCAGGGCTTTCCTGAGTCTGCAGGTGGATGGAAGAGCTCCCTTCTCTGTGCTCCAAGGACTTTGTACCCAGCTTGAGGGCACCACTTCCATTTCTAGCCTCGTTACATTACATCCCACACCATCTGTCTACTTCTCTTGCCTTGTATATCATATCAACGTCCTCTCTGAGTGTCTCATAACAGTTGCACATAGTAGGTGCTCTATGAATGTCTGCTGGACCCATTTGTCCACCTACAAGGGGAAGAGAACTAACCAGGGCTGGACATCAAAGGTGTGCCAGGCATTGTGCTAAGTGCCTTGTGTAGAATGTTTCCTTCACCCTTATAACTGGTCTGTATAATTATACAGACAGGAAGATAGAAACTGCTCATCAGCCCCATACTGCTCTTCTTCCCTTCATTTACTAGTAGAAGCAGAACTTTGGAATTTTAGTCAGGCTCCATGCTGCCAAGAAAAACGAGTGTGCTTCCTAGCTTCTCACTGTGGCGCATGATGTGTGCGGCTCCTAGGTGAAGCACTGGAAAGGAAGGGAAAAGGAGCCTTTTCCTCCTTGTGGGCATATGGACCCAGAAGAAGTCTTCCTGTCTCAATTGATAATAATTCCCTCCCTTCCAAAAACCTCCAAATGCCCCTTCCAAACACATTGAGCCACCCTTCACTCCTTTCCTTCTCTCACCCCTCCCCAGAAAATCCTGCAGGTTCAAAATTGCTGAATCATGCAGTCATCTACTGTGACCAGCCTGTTTTGAGTAGCTGACATCAATCACCTATATTTTGGCAGTTGAACCCTGGCCTCTTTGATACCTAGATACTAGAATTAACTTTTTAGTTTTCAATAGGGACATTTTCAAACATACATGAAGCATAGAGAATAGTCCTTTAACAAGTCAGTCATCTCACGCATGCACTCACAATCTTGCCATGGCTCTCATGTCGCTCAGAGTGAGAGCCAAACAGCCCTCCTCTACCCACCCCCTGCCTCACTTCCCTCATTTCTCTCCTTACTCTTCCTGCTCTGACTGAGCCTCAGCCACAGTGGACTCCTGGAATATGCCAGGCACATCCCCACCTTGGGGGCTTAGCCTAGAGTGTTCCCTGCCTGGAGTCCTTCCCAAGCTGTCCATATGGCTGCCTCCCTTCTGTATTTGTTCATATCTCTCCTCTATGGGATTACCTTGAATTCAATATCTAAAATTATAACCTGTGGACTGTGAACTTTATATGGATACAGATAAAGCAAAACTCCTCTTTGCAACACCCGTTGTACTGTACACTGCTGCTCCTGAAATAGGAAATTGGTGCCACTCTGGCAGAAGTGCCTCAGTTTACCTCCCCTGCTGCAGGATGTGTAAGGTGAATGAGGGTGGCTCTTCTTGCCTGCTCTCAGGTGTTCCAAGTGCTTTGGACACGTCAAGCTTCTAGCCTAGCACTCAGGAGTTTTCACTTGTTTCATTCTTACCACAAATTCTTGCCAGGTGGGCAAGTTGACCCCAAATGATGCTGAGGTTCAGAGAACATGGACCCAGGCATATAAAACAAATGAAGACAAAACCAAGTATCTATCTGTGCATAGTAATGGGTGTAAATGATAGAAATAGGTCTGAGAAGATAAACACATTGCTAACTTCTAGGAAAGGGAGAACTGGAAAAGATAAAAGGAGACTTTCACTATTATTGTGTTTATTTGGTATTACTCATTTCCTTAAAAAACAAGTTTATCCTTTTATACATTAGTTAATTGTATGAAAGCAAAAATAATGTAATCAATATTGAATGAATCAAGTTTGAAACCTTAACTGAATCAGAAGTGCAGCTGTAGAAAATGTCCAGCAGGGGGAGACCTGGTACAATGTGTGGGCTGCTGGGGATTCCTTTAGCAGAAAGGGTGACTGACAATCATTGTGGAACAGGCCTGACCAATCAGAGCAGACACCCAGTGGCCTCATCAGGGGAGCCACTAACTAGCCTTATTAACTGGCCAGACACGTGGTGGGTACTAGCAGCAACCGCAGCAGGGATGGGACTGCTCATTGTTGTAGCTTCAGCTCCTGGCTCAGTGCTTGGTACATAAAAGATCTCAATAAATATCTGGTGAATAAATGATTGTTCGCTGGGATTGACCTTTCTTCGGAGCCACATTTTTGGACAAAATGTGTTAAACCTTCCAAGACTTCCTAACATGCCCTCTTCCAGGCCATGGATGCCAGTTAGTGTAGCCATGTCATGCTTCCAGCTTTGTGCAGACACTGAAGGCCTGCGGTGTGGCAGGACCCTGGGCCGGCAACTGAAGGAGGAGCCTGTGGGTGGTGGCCACAGATTTGGCCTGAGCACGGCCAGCCACCAAGGGAGGGGCCTGCAAATGGCCCTCAGCTCCTCACCCAGTCTGGCCACACCACCATCAGGGTTAAGGACCCAGCTGGGTGTGGCCAGCCTGAAAATGACCCACAGCCCCTTACCCAGGCTGGCCATGCTCCCCAGCGGGGATCCTCGCCTTGAAGAGGGTGTGGCCAGCCTGAAAACAGCTCTCAGTCCCTTATCCAGGCTGGCCAAGCCCCCATGGGGGTGAGGCTCCCTGCTGGGAGGCATGGTCAGCCTGCAAACAGCCATCAGGCCCTCATGCATAGGGGCATGGTCAGCCTGTAAACCAGCACAGGTCCCTCACCCAGGCTGCCCCTTCCCCCAAGGGAACCCCCACCCTTATCCGGGACACCCTTCAGGGAAAACCAGCCAACCCCCACCTATGCACCAGGCTTCTATCTATACTAATAAAAGGGCAATATGCTAATTAGACTGGGAGACCTTTCAGGACACCTTTCTTCTGGATGTTCTTCTGGACAAAGCCATGGTGGTGGGGCCAAGGTAGAGGCGGTTAGGGGCCAAGAGGTGAGGGCAATTGTGGGTGATCAGGCCAGGATGGGATAGCAGTTGTGGGTAATCAGGCTG